TCACAGAGCTTTAATTTTGATAGTTTGAGCTCCTTCCAGTTCCTTGTGTGCTGAGAGATATGCCCCTTTAAAGTTGACCCTCAAAATCGCATTTTTTGCGATTTTCAAATTTTGATACGGTTGTTCTAAAATTCGGGTTAGACTCATTTCCCACTCAATTTGACCCCCTGAATAAGAATATGAAGTCGAATTTCCGAAATGATGCACGGATTTTGAGATATATGGAAATTACAATTTTAGGTGTTTCCGAAGCACATTTTCGGGCATTTTTGGGGTCGTTTCAGAAATGCTTTCAATCATCTTCCAAATACACCACTTCAATTACTGATATATCCAGACATTATCCAAAGTAGAGCTTCAAGCGTTTCCCATTTACTTTGAATGCCGATCCTTCTTTGCTTTCATCTTCAATTGCCCCATTTGTAAGCACTCGAGTCACTTTGAATAGGCCTGACCACTTCGACTTGAGTTTACCCGGGAAAAGTCTCAAATAGGAGTTATAAAGCAAGACAAGATCGCCAACTTTAAACTCTCGCTGAAGGATTTTGGCATCATGCCACTTCTTCATTTTCTCCTTGTAAAGGGCCGAACTCTCATACACTCGCAGCCGGAACTCTTCTAATGTATTAAGTTGGTTGACTCTATCTTTTGAAGCATCCCCCAATTCAAGTTTAATGCTTTCAATGCCCATGATGACTTATATTCAAGTTCAATTGGTAGGTGACAAGATTTTCCCAATACCAATTGGCATGTCTTTTTGAATCCGGTGCAGTAAGCCCAAAGAGCATCATCTAACTTTCGAGACCAGTCAGCCCAATTTGCATTGACTTTTTTGCCAGAATTCCCTAGATTTCCCGATTCGACACTTCAACCTACCCACTTGTGTGTGGATGATAAGAGGTTGAAACCTTATGCTTAAGTCCATATTTTCTCAACAACAATGCAAACAAACGGTTGCAAAAATGAGATCCCCATCACTAATAAGTGCACACAGAGTGCCAAACCTTGTGAAAATGTATCGCTTCAAGAATTTCACAACACTCCTCTATTCATTGTTGGGTAAAGCTACTCTACTCATTTAGAAACGTAGTCAACCGCAAAAGAACAATTTATACGTTCCCAAGCTAGATTCTTAAAGATGCAATCAATACAACTATCAATCAATAATTCCATTAGAACTCACAAAAGGTCCCATGAAGTCGATTCCCAGACATTGAACAATTCTACCTCTAGAATAGGATGGAGAGGTAATTTATGCTTTCTTGACATCCACTTTCTCAAGCTAGATCCTCAAAGATGCAATCAATGCAACTATCAATCAATAATTCGACTCTAACACCTCTTTCTCAAGAAAGTATAAAGTACTAAGCTAGAATTGCATTTGCAACTACAATTCCTCAATTAAAACATGAACAATTAATTGAACCCACTTCAAAACAACAATAACATTAGTAACTAACAATACCCATTAGCTAATTAACGCATTCAACTACGTTATCACACCCCTAAGGAAAGGGGTTTTAGCCAAGCATAGTGAAAAACAAGAAATCATTACCTACGAAGTTTTTCATCTGATTTGACAATGATCTGAAATTCCCAAATGCTGAAATTTAAGCTAAAAGTCTCACAATCTCTATATCTCTACTCCAAAATATAAAAACAATGTTCTAGAATGTAAAAACTCAAAAAAGCCAAAAGTGAACTGTGTGTGGACTCCTTCTCTTCTTTTCAAAATTGCATTTATACGTTCCCAGAATTTTAGCACGGATTCAACTCGGTGAAGTAGGTCAGGTTCGCCGAATTGGTCGGTGATGCACCAAGAGCTCCTCTTCTCATCTATCTGGCATGGATTTTCACCAAATCTTTTTGTAACTTTCGGCGAGCCGAATCAACATTTTCGATCTCTTCGGTGTATCGTCGAACCACTTGTCTACTTGCCAAGTTGGATTTGTCCAAGGGATGGCATGTTGGAACTTTAGGCGAGTTGAAAGTCCACTCGGCGACTTGCCGAGTGGCTTTGGCGAGTACCAGTTTTGCTTTCCTTCAACTTTTTCAGCTTTTCCGCTCCAATTTTCCTTGTAATGTCCTTGCCTTACTCTTTTGCCTTCATTGTTGCATATAAACTTTTTAACATCTGTTATGACAATAAAATAGGCATTGAGGACACTAAATATTTGAATAATAATCCCTAAATGAGTCAAAATCCCCGACTCATCACACATTTGCTAATAGACATATTTATGTCTATCTAACCATGACCTATAGGGGACTAACTTTATCCATGTAGCATATAAACATGGTGTTCGACCCTCTAATTATATATATTCGTTCGTTCAAAACCTCATCTCGAACTCGAGCCACTCATCAACATGAAGGTTATAATTATCCAAGCTTGAGATTTTTATCAAGTTTCATCCTAGGAAAATTCTACCCAAGTACTTACTTCCTACCAAATGCTATAATGACAGGATGAGTCGTTATATGAGATATCGGTCTAATAATATTTCGTCCATGAATGACAACTAGAAGGAAAAAGGGAGAACAGACAAGAAATTACATGACTTCACGAACTACTGCAAATATTTGTTACGCATGTCCGCTTTGATTTCCCAAGTGGCCTCCTCAATATGATAGTTCTTCCATTAGACCTTTAAGGATACAATATCCTCAGTCCTTATCTTACATTCATCTCTATCAAGAATAACAGTAGGTTCCTCTTCATAAAAGAGGTTTTCATCAAGTAATATCAAATTCCAATTCATACTGTAATTACCATTGCCAAGAAACATTTTCAACATAGACACATGAAATACAAGATGGACTCATAAAAATTTTAGAGGCAAAGACAATCTATATGCTATTGACCCCACACACTTATGAATCTCAAACAGTCCAATATATCTTAGATTAAGCATACGCCACTTCCCAAATTACATAACACCCTTCATGGGTGAAACCTTGAGTAGAACTTGATCACTTTCTATGAAATGTATGTTTCTTACCTTTGGATTTGCATACCCTTTTTGCCTACTTTGGGCTGTTACAAGCTTCTCTTGAATATATCTCATCTTTTCCAACAAATCGTTAAAGATATCTGTATCCCATGGTCTTACCTCAAAGGCATCAAACCACCCACTGGGAGATCTACATCTCCTTTCACATAAAGCCTTAAATGAGAAAATTTCAATGCTTGAATAATAATTACTATTACACGTAAAGTCAGCCAAATGTAGAAATGATCCCTATTACCTCCAAAATTGGTATCACGCGTGTGGAGCATGTCTTTCAATATCTGAATTATCTACTTAGATTTCCCACCGATTTGAGCATGAAAAGTTATATAAAGATCCAATATAGTACCCAACTCTTCATACAACTTCTCCCAAAAGTTAGAAGTAAATTGCATACCCCTATAAAAAAAATATAAATGGGAACCCCATATAGCCTAACAATCTCCTTAAGATATATCTTAGCCAACTTCTCTGTACTATACGTTACTTGCACCAAAATCAAATGTGCAGAGTTAGCCTATCCACAATAACCCATATTGAGTCATAATTTCTCAACGTCTTAGGAAGCTTAACAACAAAGTCCATAACTATTCTATCCTACTCCAACTCAGAATTGGACATCCTCTGAAGAATATCATTAGGCTTCTGATGTTCATACTTCACCTGTTGATAAATTTTACACTTAGCCACAAATTTAATTGATGTTAATACTTCACCTACTGATTATTTTGACACTTAGACACAAAATTAACTGTATCTAGCTTCATTCGACCCCATCAATAGTGCTACCTCAAATTACGATACATCATCATTGCACTGGGATATATAGCATTTCAATCTATGAGCCTCAATAAGAATGAAATGAATTAAGTCACTAACACAAGACACCAAAACTCACCCCTTAATACGCAAAACACTTCACCATCAAGAATGACCCTATTGGCCTCACTTTGCAAAACCTTGTCATGAATCTTAATCAACCTTACATCCTCAAATTGTCTAGCCTTTATATGATCAAGCAGTGTCTGGTAACTGCTAAGCAAGCGAAGCTACCCATACTCTCAGCCTTTCAATTCAACGCATTGGCTACCACATTATCCTTATTTAGATGATAAGGAATGGTTATATTATAATCCTATAATTATTTAATAGCTCTATCTATCTATGTTGTCTTAAATTCAACCCCTTCTTGTGAAAATATGTTGAAGACTGTGGCGGTCAATAATCATTTCACGATGAACTCCATACATATAATGTCTCTATAGTTTAAGTGCAAAAACCACAACAACCAATTCCAAATCACGAGTAAGATAATTCTTATTATGCACCTTTAACTGTCTGGAAGCATAGGAGATAACATACCTTTCCTGTATCAAACAACATCTAATCTATAATGTGACACATCCTAACATATATTAAAATCCTTACCCTTCAATGGAATGACAAGATATGAGCAGCAGTAAAAAAGGTCTCAAGATTTTGGAAGCTTTATTCACATTCATCATACCAAAGAAAGGGTACATCTTTCTAAGTCACACGGGTCAAATGAGAAAAAATAGAGGCAAACCCCTTCACAAACTTGTGGTAGTAACTAGCCAGCCCCATAAAATTACAAATATCGGTCACAGAGGTAGGCCTAGTCGAATTCTTAACTGCTTCAATATTTTGCAAGTCTATCATAACCTCTCTTTCGAAACCACGTGTCTAAACAAAGACACCAAAGGAAACCACAATGCACACTTATAATATTTTGCATAAAGTTACTTTTCCTTGAGAAAACCCAATACTATTCTCAAATGATTCTCATCTCCAACTCTACTCTAAGAGTAAAGAAAAATATCATCAGTGAAGGGGATCGGGAAAGAACCCAAGTAAGGCTTAAACACCATATTCATTTAACCTATGACAGTATCTAGGGAATTAAATAGCCAGAAGAACATCACCAAAAATCATAGTGCCAATACTGGGTTTAGAATGTAGTCTTAGGGATGTTCTCGTCTTGGATTTTAACTAATGATACTCGGACCTTAATTCAATCTTGAAGAATGCTTCAGTACCCTATAAATAGTCAAATAAATAATCTATCTTGGATAAAATGTACTTCTTATGAATTGTAACTTTGTTCAACTGTCGGTACTCAAGGCACATACGTAAACTACCATCTTTCTTTTTAACAAATAACACAGATGCACCATACAAAGAAGCACTCAGATGATTGATCCCTTACTTAGTGATTCCTACAACTGAGCCTTTAGTTCCCTTAGTTTAGCTAGTTCAATTCTATATGGGAAATGTAAATGACATGAGTATTGAGTTCTAATTCTATACAAAAATTAATATCTCGATCTGGTGGCATGCCAAGCAAGCCAGTAGAAAGTACCTCTATAAACTCGCATACCACGTGAACTAACTCAGTAAGCGGGACATCTGCCTTAGTATCTTAAAAACAGGCTAAGAACGCCAAACATCCTTCACAATTAACCTTTTCAAACGAATGAAAGAGATAATTTTCATAGTAATAGGAATATAATCACCTTTCCACTTAATTCTTGCCATCCCCAACATAGGCACAATTTTTGTCTTTGCATGATAGTCTAGAATTACATGGTAAGGAGATAACCAACTCAGTCCCACGATGATGTCAAAATCCACTTTATACAATATCACCAATTCTGCCCAA